CGCGCAGCACGGCTTCCTGCTGCGCGACCCCAGCGAAGCTCCCGAGACCCGGAGCGCTCTGCTGGAACTGCTGACCACGTGCCAGGAGGCGCCGCGTCCGCATCTGGGCGAGTTCGAGGCCAACCCGCAAGGCCAGCTGTGGCAGCACCTCTGGGCCGTGCAAGACGGCCAGTGGCTGCCAGTGGGCCGCGCACGGGTCGTGCCCGCGCCGGAGCCCCCGCTGCACCCGGTAGTGCCAGACCTGCCCGACTCCGTGGTCTTCCCAGACCGAGAGGCCGCCCGGGCCGTTTTGGAGGAGGTAAGACTTCTGTTCCTTTCCTGCTCTCAGTGTGGCATCTGGGCTCTCTAGACCAGAGAAACGGACAAAGCAGCTGACCTTTCTTGCCCGGCTGGTTTGTTTTCGCCCCGTTCACAAATCAGGAATAAAAAAATCAGCTAGGGAAGGTGTCGCCAGAATCTGTAATCGACATGATGGCTGTTTCAGGTTTTTTTTAATTTTAATTTTTTGAGTTGGAGTCTCACTCCGTTCGCCCAGGCTGGAGTGCAGAGGCACACTCAGGGTCACCCCAGCCTCTACCAGCTGGACTCAGGCGCGCTACCATGCCTGGCTAATATTTTATTTATTGTAGAGACGAGGACTCGCCAAATTGCCTGGGCTGATCTCGAACCCGCGGGCTCAGGCAATTCACTTGCCTCGACCTCCCAAAGTGCTGGGATTACAGGCTGAGTCACCCACCAAGCTCGGCCTCTTTTGCAGGGTACTTCCACCCTGATGTGGAACATATTCCAACACCAAGTGGTGCGAGACTGCTCCAAATGTGTGTTGAAAGACTAAGGAGGAAGTCAACAGGGTTCTGGGCATGGGGGAAGACAGTGTTGTCTGGGAAGTAAGTTTGTTTGCTGATGACCACCACTCAAGGATCTTGAGGTGTAGAAAGTACATGTTGTGCCTAACTATTTACTGGCTATGAACCTTGTGCTAGTGATGGAATGACTCTAAGTTTTGTTTTTTCACTTTCACTTGTGAAATTTCCATCTTGCAGTGCAGTTCTGATGATTAAGGAAGCCTCTGACTCATAGCAGGTGCTCAAGGAGTGATACTGAAGATTGTTTCTGACTACAGGTGGGGCGGGTCTGGGGTGTCTAGATTTGGCCTCCTGAGGACGACAGCCAGTGGATCTTAGATATGTTTTACAGCCTTATGTGGGACAGGGGCGGAGAGCAGATTAGTATGCAAGATCAACGACTTGGGTTTGAATTCATACTCTGGCATTTATTAATGGTGTCCCTTTCAGAGAGTTTCATCAACTTTCTTTGCCTTAGCTACCTTAATTCATAAGATGATACTAATAACATTAATACTTAATACTTGTAAAGCACACAGAAGATTGCCTAGCTCAGAGTAAGCACATAAATAAATAAGTGTCTGGGCCTGGCTATGGAGATGCTGTGAGCAGGCAGTGAGGTAATGTACAGTTAGAAACTTTGAGTTTCCAGGAGGACGCAACTCTGCTAGCTTCATGATTGCTGTGCTTGGCTCTTTCCTTACCTCCCTGAGAGTTAAAAAAGGACATGCTGCAGATGCCAACTGCTCTTTTCAGAGTCCACAGTGTGGCTGATTCCCCACCCTTGTGACACACTGTTCTAGACAGGCCTGTGGTTCCATGTTACAGAACACTGCAATGATGTGCCTTGCTACACTTCCTCCTATAGAAGAGGCTGCTCAGTGAGGGCTGCAGGCTGAGTGATCCAGACAGGGACAGCCTTTCGGAGCCTCAGCTATTCAATATAAAATGAAGGAATCTGGCCCATCCCAGCTTCAGAATACTTTGAATTCTACATCCTGGTATGGTGTTCATTGTAACTCAGGCCTTATTGCTAGTCTGTAATCTTGTCCATGGTGATTTAGATATGGCTTCTCCAAAACCCCCATAGCTTCATTGCTGATGGATAGATGTTGTTTTACAGTGTACACCCTTTATTCCTGAAGCCCGGGAAGTGCTTAACCTGGTGGACCAGTGCCCAAAGCAGGTCCAGAAAGGAAAGTTCCAGGTTATTGCCATCGAAGGACTGGATGCCACCGGTAAGAGGCTATTATTTTCAGTTATACGCAATGATATGAACTGATCATTACAAACATAGAAACAATCACTGCCAAATCCAACTCTGTAGGGAGCCTCATGTGTGCCTCTACTTTGTGACGGGTCCTGTGCTGGGCAGGCCTTGGGATGCAAAGAGGAGTAAGACCTTCAATATGAAATGGTGTGAGGTGTGGGAAAGCCCAGCCTCCATGCTCTGGTGGGACACAGAAAGGGCACTGAATCTGGCCTCTGTGGGGGTTAAGGGATACGGAGTGCACGGTGAAAGGTGATTCCTGGATTGTGTTTTAAGTACAGATAGGAGTTGAACAAGTGATAAAACAGACAAGGTCTTCCAGACAGAAGAAATAGTACAAGCAAAGGTGCAGAGGTTGGAACCAGTGTGGTGTGTCCAGGAACTGCAGGCAGCTCAGGAGTTCCTTTTGGAGCAAAATGTGGAAGAACTAGCAAATGAAAGGGAGGAAAAAGATCTTCTGAGCTTTCAAACGTATGTCAAAATACAATGGGCATGCCCATATTTAGACCATGGCATAAAAGAAGTATTGCTGCAATGGAGCAGGAAACATCGAGAAGAGTGTTGATCTTGGAGAAGATGGGAATCCATGTGGTTCAGCACAGGAGTATCTCCTCCCTGTGTCAGCTTGAGGAGTGCAGACTTGATTTTTCATAACCTAGAAGGCAGTTTCCATGTAGGGGCCCTTTGTGTACACAATCAGGCAAATGGGGTCCAGGCAATGGCTCGTGTTGGCTGTCTTGGCTCCATCTGAATGATTGGGAAATGTCTGAGTTAGAAATAACACATTGGGATAATAATGAAAGTCTGTGCTTCATGAATCTCTACTTTCAGCGGTTCACTTGTTCATTGGCTTATTCAACACTTATTGGGCACCTACTCTATGCCAAAGACTGTTCTCAATTCAGGGGATTCATATCCTTGGCCTTCAGGGAGACCAGCTGTCATCACTTGAGTGTGTGGACTGTACTGAGTCCAGTCATAGTTTTTTTCAGCTATACAGGGAATTTTAACAATTTTTGGCCTTCAGCTGGTGTGTTTTGCTGGCTCTTTATTTTGTACTTTGCACTAATTTAGATTAGCTGGAATTACATGAAACACAAAATTTAGCCTTAACACCTGCATCTACACGTACAAAATTTCTAAGGAGATATTGCATAGAATGGTGAAAAGAACATGAGCTAGTGATTCCATCTGCCATATGTTTGCATCTTGAGTTCAGATCTGTCAGCAGGGTGAGTTTGGGTAAATTTATTAACTTCTCCAGTGCTCATTTTCTTCAATTGTAGGATTATTAAATGTAATTATTTTTGCAAGGTCATTGAGAGAGTGAGAAGCATAATGTGTGCTGAGTGTGTGGCTCCTAGTAGATGCTGAGAAAAGGTAGCTACTGTAGGATCTATCTGGACAACCCAAGGAAAAAAATCAAGAAAATAAATAGTTTGCAATAAAGTGTTAAGTGTGTGGTAGAGGGAAAAAATTAAGTTGAGGTGCTCAGAGAAGCTACTGCAGTGTCCTTGAGTAGGTTAGATTCTCATCAGCACCCATTATGTACTGTAGGCAGCAGTTAACAACAAGTACGAGATGAGTCCTAGGAATTGGAAAAGCTTGCCACCTGAGGCTGTACAAAGAGGAGTCAGAAAGCGAGGCAAAACTGAGCCATACCTTGAGGAGGGAGCTGCAGTCTAAAGTCAGGTACAAAATCGCTCACAGCCAAGCCCAAAGGAGCAAGACCAGGAATAAGTGATAGAACCAGGGTTGAGATTGGAAAGGGACTGAATAGAACGGGAACAGGATGTGACCAAGTGAGGAAGAGAGGAGGGGTGAGGAGAGTCACTGGGGACACCAGACTTGGGCTTCTCTTCCAAGATGGATCAACTATCGATGGGGTAAGAAGAGAGACTGTCCGGAAAGTAGATGGCATGGCAAGAGGGCTGGGAATAAAATTAGCACATTAAAGGAGTCCTGGTATCTGGACCCTTATACCAGAGTTTATCATTTACCAGAGTTTTTCCTCCAAGCATTGTAATATGAAACAGAGGAATCCTGAGTTCTTATGGGTCTGCAACCATATGATATAAGGAATCATATTTTTATTTCCTTTGATTTACAAGTTGAAATAATTTCTTTGCTCTAATTGAATATTAGCTTTCAGGTGTAATATGGTGGCTGTGAAATTAAGATGTGCTGTGCCTTGTGTCTGACCTGCAGGTAAAACCACAGTGACCCAGTCGGTTTCAGATGCACTCAAGGCTGTCCTCTTAAAGTCACCGCCCTCTTGCATTGGCCAGTGGAGAAACATTTTTGATGATGAGCCAACTATCATTAGAAGAGCTTTTTACTCTTTGGGCAATTATATTGTGGCTGCTGAAATAGCTAAAGAATCTACCAAATCTCCTGTGATTGTAGACAGGTGGGTATAAAGATGCCTTGTATTAGGCATTTTCTCCCTAATGTATAAGCGTGCATGTGTGTGTGTTGTATGTGTGTACATATATATGCAAGTACCCAATTGTGTTTAAGTTAAACTGTATTATGATACTACGAGGCATAATGTCTATGGTTTATTAATTACCTGCACCAGTGCCTAGCATTTACTGACAGTATTATATACATTATACGAATATCTGTAAAAATAACTTGGGTAGGTGGATCTAAATGTTACCATCAATTTACTGATGAGAAACATAGATCTTATAAAGGTTGAGTAACTTGCTGGAGCATCTGACTTGAAATCGCATATAGGGGAAATTAGTGAAAGTCTCTGCTTCTTGAATCTACTTCAACATGAACAAGTCATTTGTTCATTGACTTATTCAACAAACACTTCCTGAGCACCTACTGTGTGCCAAAGACTGTTCTCAAGCCAGGGGACTCAATGGTAAATGAGATAGATAACTCCCTGCTTTTCTGGAGTAAACATAGACTTGCGGGAGAAAATAATAATCAAGTGAACAAATAGATTGGGAGGTGGAAGTGAGAGGATTGCCTGAACCCAGGTGTTTGAGACCAGCCTGGGCAAATTGGAGAGACCTCATCTCTACAGCAAATCAAAAAATTAGCCAGATTAGCTGTACCTGTAATCTCAGCTACTTGGAAGGCTGAGGCAGAAGGATTGCCTGAACCCAGCTTGTGAAGGCTACAGTAGCTGTGAGCTACTGTACTCCAGCCTAGGTGACACAGACTTGACTCAATAAATAAATAAATAAAAATCAGAGCATGATAAATGCTAGAAAGCGGATAAGTTAAAGTATTGTGCTAGAAAATGACTGAAGCCCCACTTGATTTGGCTCAGAAAGGCCTGTCTGAGAAGGCATCACTAGTCTAAGGGCTGATGTAAAAGAACCAGATGTGAAAATTTCAGGGTAACAGAATGCACAGAGGAGAGAAGATCTACAAGAGCAAAGCTGAGACAGAAGGAAGCTAACATCTATGATGACTAGAAAATGTTAGTGTTTTGGAAACACAGTGGATGAGGGGAAGAGTAAGGTGGGGCACATCAGTAGGGTTCCATAGGCTGTAGCAAAGAGTGGATTTTATTCTGAGTGCACCGTGGAGCATTGAAATGTTTCAGACATAGAGAGAGATATATGTTTTAAAAGTCTGCACAAAAGAAATGACCTTAAAGATACTATAACAATGAACAAAGGATATGGCAAGCATATCACTAACACTTGCTAAAGTCACTAGGGAAGCTTAAATCACCCAGATCAGGAATAAGAGATTTCATTTTGCTCCCAACAGGTGAGTGAAAACAGCTATGATTAAAAGTTTCCTCACATACAGGGCTAGGAATGACATAGATTTATAGAAACTCTTACATGATGCCGTGGGAGATACATACTGGAAGTCACTTAGAAAGCAATTTTAGAAGATGTAGCCAAGTAGAAGATTACCTTCCCCTACTGAAGAAACACTCACCAGAGTTTATTTTGACTTTGTTCATACTGCTGAAAAATTTGGAAAACCTAGAGCTCACCAACAAGAGAAAGGTTAAATAAATACTAGTATACTTATCATATGATGTACTGTACTTCAACATGAACAAGTGAATGCAGCAGTGTGCATACATTAGAAAACTGTAATGTTGAGTGAAAAAGTCAAGTTGCAGGAAGATGTTTCTTTTATGTGCACAGAAAAGAGAGAGATGAAAGCATCTTGAACACCAGATTGAGGAGTGCTGTCCTCTGGAAAGTAGAAAGGAATGTGGTTGATGAGCCCAGAAGGGCTTCAATTGCAATTAGGTTATTTCTTAACATTACTCAAGCATACGTTTTATTCTCTGTGTAGTTTTACTTATTTTTGGAAAAGCAAGCAATTGCATTGAACATGTTTGGAAAAGAGCATTAATCATCAATGTAACTCTCAAGGAATTCCCAGAAGCGCACACAGCTAAGTCACTTGTACTCAGATCTAGAATGAGAGCCTGCCATAGCTCCTGCACCCTCTCCCTCCCCCACCAAATCACTGCCCATTCTCCTTCCCAGTGATAGTCACTGCCCCAACTGCCATCACCAAGTGACAGTTTTGCCTGTTCTTGAACTGCCCATAATGTCACTGCATATTCAGTAAGGAGTACTGTTTCATCCAACATCTTTCATACCCCATGTGATTTTGAGATTTGTCCATGTTATCATGAACTTCTTTTTACACACCTTTGGTGCACGTATGCATGCAATTCTGTTGTGTAGGTTCCTAGAAGTGGAATTGCAGAGACATGGAGTTTGTGGGTGTTCAGCTTTGGTAGGCATTGCGCAACATTTTCTTAAGGGGTTGGAATAATTTTGAGTCTCCTCTCCTCCCCACAGCAGGGTTTGCAAATTCCCTATGACTCACAGTCTGGTCCATGTTTAGTGTTGCTAGGCTTTAATATGGACTGTTCTAGTTTTTCCATTTGTTCCTGGTAGGTAATCTGACCAGTTAAAAACTAATTTACTGTATCTGGACACAGAACTTCTATTCTTTTCTTGAAATAGTACCATTCTCTGTATACTTTTCTACTTTTCTGAAATATTCCATGAAGAGGCCACCCGGAGTGTCTATAGAGAATTAAGTATGTGCTGGTGGGGGCTTAGGGGAAAGAAAGAAAACAGATGGAATCAGCTAGAAGGCTGTGGCTATGGTCTAAGCTCTAATGGCCAGTAGGTAGTTTTAACTTTGAGGATGCAGTGGGTTTGGGCACAGGGACGGACAAGTAATTATTTCAAAGTTAGCACAAATCCTAGGAGGAACTGAGAAGGATAGAAAATACTGTGACTTTGTAGGACACCTTTGCCTGGAGAATCTTTTTGCTCTATTGTTAACATGCCCAATGCTATCATATTTGATATCTTTTTTGATACAGTTCTCTTTATTTCAAGAGAAAAATCTATGACTTTTCTCATAGGGTGTGACTTCACCGAGTACATTATTTCATAGAATGCCACAAATCCTGAAGCAGCACTACCCTCTTCTTGAATACAGGGACTTACACGCTCTGCCTCCTAGTTTTCCTGTGTGTTAAATGGTGATATTTATGATCTTTTCCCTGCCTGCTGTCAAGACTAGTGACAAATACCTGATGGGTGGATGCATGTGGCAGTGCTCTGAAAACAGCAAATTGCTATTAAAATATAAAGCATTATTATATAAGCTGTGTATAATGTGTTGGCAAATTGCATTTGATTTGAACTAATGTGGTTTCCCTGATAGCAGGATTGGAGAATACTAAATAGTGGAAAGAGTATGAAATTGATGGCCAAGGGTATGATTATTTAAAATGAGTAGCAGTGTTGTCAATGAGAGAACTCTATAGAAAACAGGTTCCTAATTCTTCCCTTGATTTTTCTTCTTTGTGTCTGTGAATTGTCTGCAATTTAGCTTTTTATAGAGATACTCTATCACCTTGTCAGATGAATAGAAAAGAGCAGTTATTTGTTGTCTTGGTGATTTTGTTCATGTTTAAAGATTTTAATGAAATCCATTTTAGACAACACCATCATCTAGTTGAAAAATACAGGGGATGGAATAATTTTTGATGGTAATGGTGGTTAATCACCCTTATTATCTTTAAAAATCTATTCTTGCTGATGGTTTTTCTACAAGAAAGAAGACTTTTTAAATTAGGATGATATCAGCCTTTGTATTTGTATCTGAGTATTTAATTTAGTGAATGTAAAGCATGTGCAGAACATGGTACAAATTGTAGTTTAAGTGCCAAGAAAAGAAAACTCACCTCCTGTCTGTATTTATTGACCATGGGGGACAAAATTAATCTGATAGAAAAGGTGAAATTAGACTGGGTGTGGTGGCTCATGCCTGTAATCCCAGCACTTTGGGAGGATTACTGGAGCTCAGAAGTTTGAGAGGCAACATAGGGAGATCTTGTCTGTACATACACACATACACAAAATTAGCCTGACATGTGACTCATGCTTGTAATCCTAACACTTTGGGAGGCTGAGGTGGGAGGATTTCTTGAACCCAAGATTTAAGACCAGCCTAGGCAACATAGCAAGACCTCGACTCCCTAAAAAATACAAATAATAATAATAATAATAATAATAATAATTTGGGATGGTGGTGTACTCCTGTAATCCCAGCTACTCAAGGAGCTGGGGCAGGAAGATTGCATAAGCCCAGGAGGTTGAGGCTTTGGTGAGCTGTGATTTTCACTGAATCCCAGCCTGGATGACAGAGAGACCCTAGGTGATACACAGGAAGGTATCTAGGCATAATTCAAAGGAGCTGACAGTGACAGTGGCCTGAAGTTCTTGGAGGACACTTTTGGAGGTGGACAGGACTTTAAAGGATGGATGGTATTAGGTTTTATCAACTTCCAAGTGAGTTTTTTTACTTTTGTCCTTTTTAGTACTGCCTGTGTTGTATTATCATAATTTGAAGTGATGCAGCTTTAGTTATAACCAGTATCCAATAAGAATTAGATATTATCTTATAATGTCAGTATGATAATTTTTAAAAGCACTTTGTATATGCCACAACTTTGGAAGGAAAGCAAAGCTTGCATGATTCCCATTTTCCTGATGAGTAAATGGAGACTATAACGGCTCAAGTGACTTTTACTTACATCTATGAAGCAAACAGGTGCAGAAGGCAAGATGGTGCCCAACTTGGATAAGACAGTGAACTTATTATGGAGACACCACTGTGTCCTTTGCACTGTGGAAAGAAGTATAAGTCTAAAGTGATCAAAAGTTTAAGATTTTAAATAATTGAAGGGGGTAATTTGAAAATACAGACGAAGTGGGGCCATGGGTACTTCTCTACATTGCGATGTTTATGATAAATATTTGTTGTAGGTAATAGTCCTCTGATATGGGATGTGAAGTTTTGCATTTAATCATTAAAATTGGAGTATAATACGAACAGTTTATTATACAAGAGTGTAATACACTTTGCCAATAAATGAAATAGTTCTAGTTTGTTCATTCACTCATACATCCAAAGAACATTTACTGCATACCTATTATGTGCCAGATACGCATGACTGAAAAAAGATTTCCCACTCAAGGAATTAATTATCTAATGGAGGAGACAAAAGATATCATTCCTGTACAATTAGTTATAATTTGTGTTAAGGAGTTCAACAGAACTAAATATGAAAGGAGTCCGGAAGAGAGGAAGAAACAATGAATTCTTCTTGGGGGCTTCCTAGGAGTTGTAATCTGAAGGGAGAGGAGAATGATGTTGATTAAGAATGTTTCTCTTCAGAGGAAAAAGTATGAAGACAGACCCAGGTACAGAGGGGAAGGATGTTCTGGGACTCCCTAGCAGACTGTGCTTTTTCCTATAGGTCTTCAAAAGCCATCGGGCATTTAAACATGGATGGCTGATTTTATTTTTGTTTATGGTAATGATTTTGTCCTCCCCACCACAAGCATTTAAAAAAAAACAACCAACAGAAAGGGTGGCTGACTTGCTCAGGGAGGACTATTGTAGATCTGTGTAGGCTTATTCATCTCCCTGACTGTTACTGATGCCTGATAAGAAAGCTGGAACCTTGGGAAGGACAGTGGAGGTTCTAGCTCAGGGTTCCCAGAACATGACTTTCATTGGCAAGTTCAATTTTAAAGCAAGGCAGGCACTGACATGGGCTTGCCAGGTTTTTATTTGACCAAGACACAGCATTAAATACAAATGAACTGCCAAGCAGATCTATTGTTCCCTGCCACTAACCCTTCCTTCATAGAAGAAAGCATATAGCCAGGTCAAAGAGATGCCACAGTGAAAGCTCACAAGAAATGGGAGTTTTAATCGGGTAAATGTAGCTGTGTGAAGAGTCAACTGCATAATTGCTCTTGTCTATTTTAATTTTTAATATTTTATGAGTTTTTATTTTAAAAATTTAATTTTATTTAATTCAGACAATACTGGCCAATAGGCACATGAAAAAGTGCTCAGCCTCACTCATCATTAGAGAAATGCAAACCAAAACCACATTGAGATACCACCTAACCCCAGTAAGAATGGCTATCATTAATAAAACAAATAACAACCGATGCTGGCCAGGATGCAGAGAAAAAGGGACGCTTCTATACTGCTGATGGGAATGCAAACTAGTGCAATCTCTCTGGAAGACAGTGTGGCGGTATCTGAAAGAACTAGAAATTGACCTTCCATATGACCCAGCAATTCCCCTATTGGAAATATACCCAGAGGAACTCAAATCATTCTACCAAAAAGATACCTGCACATGCATGTTTATTGTGGCACTATTCACAATAGCAAAAACACGGAACCAATCATGTTGCCCATCGAAACTGGACTAGATAACAAAATGTGGTACATATACATGATGGAATAGTATGCAGCCATAATGAAAGACAAACTGATGGACTTTCCAGTAACTTGAATGGATTTAGAGTCTATAATACTCAGTGATCTATCACAGAAACAAAACAGAGTACCATATGTTCTCACTCTTAAGTGGACCCTGAATATTTGCTGTACTACTATGAGAAAAGGATTGGGAGTAGTGGGAAACTACCAGGGGAGAGAGGGGGGCATAATATCAACAAGGGTACCTGATCACAAACCAGGTGAAGTGGGGACCAAAGGGAGGTCCAAACTCTACCTGTATGTTGACCACTTGTATACCTAGTCTTAAAAATAGAAAAGAAAAGAAAAACTCCCCCAGAACCAGCTCTGGTTTTAGCATCCTCAGCAGTTGATTATCAGATGCTACTTTGACTTCTTCCACAGAGAATTCACTGCTCCCTTTCTTCTCAGGTACTGGCACAGCACAGCCACCTATGCCATAGCCACTGAGGTGAGTGGAGGTCTTCAGCACCTGCCCCCAGCCCATCACCCTGTATACCAGTGGCCAGAGGACCTGCTCAAACCCGACCTTGTCCTGCTGCTCACCTTGAGTCCCGAGGAGAGGGTACGGAGGCTACAGGGCCGGGGCATGGAGAAGACCAGAGAAGAAGCAGAACTCGAGGCCAACAGCATATTTCGTCAAAAGTAGGTGTCTCCAATGCTATGTGAGTGATAGGTGTCCCTGCAGGGAGAGAGGCGAGTCACTAACACAAGCTTTAGGAATGTGGGGAAAGGACATTATTCCTAGTTTTCAAATGGAATAGGCAAGTTATTTTAGCTTCTTGGGCTTGTCACCACAGGGTTACAGCACTGTTATTTTAAAGTGATGAATATCTGACTAGGGATCAGTCCTGGCTGTGCCAGTAACAGCGTGAACAGTAAGTGGCTCTGTACCTCAGTTTCCCCAGTTATGATATAATGGACACAGAGTGCTAGATAATGAACTCATTTTACTTATGATGTGTATTCCTAAAACATCTTTTAAAGGAAAACAGCCATATTTTATAGTTTACAAAACTGAGGCTCAAAGGATTAAGTGATTTGTGTACATTTACATAGCTATTAAGTAGTAAAACTGAAATTAAAGTCAAGATCTTTCTGATTTTGAAGACAATGTGTTTGTGTTAATTAGAAAGTTATGAGCACAATAGCAGAAGAGAGTCTGGCCAGGCTTCTTGCCTGAAGGCTGAGCATGAATCACTTCTACAGCACTGAAAACCAAAACAGAAGTGTAAATGTTTTATATAACTAAACAATAATGTCATTGATATCATAACATAGTCATGTTATAATTTAAATGATAATGATTACTGGGTGGGTGGAAAGATACTATGCTAAACAACTTATTTGTATTAATTAAATTAAGCCTCATTGCAAGCTTGCAAGGAAGGTATTATTTCAGTCCTTCTCTTACGGTTAAGAAAGCTAAGGCACAGAAAGGATGAGAAATTTGAAAAGTTCATTTAGTAGTAAGTGGTAAAGTAGAGATGGTGGTACAGGTGATCTAGTCTGAGGTCTCTGTGTTACATAGAATGATATAGTGCTTCCATGACTAAATAGGCACTCATTATTCCATATATAATCATAGCTGGATAGCATGTAAAGGAGATGTCAATCTTGGTGAAATGTTCGTAGAGTCATAAGTGAAAACAATGTATGTGCTAAGGATTTTGGCTTGCGTGGAAATCATCCAGGACACAGACGGGGGAGGAATTTGACGTTAAGCAAATTACCAAAACTGTTTGAGCCTCAGTGACTTTCTCTGCAGAATGGCAATGACAGTAGTTCTCCTCCTAAGGTTACTCCCCTGAGTATTAAATGAGAAAAATCATGAAACATGCTAATGCCTAATGCCTGGCAGATAATAGGTATTCAACAAGTGCTAGATGTTATTATTAATGTATCATTTATTAAACAAAATGCATCAGTGTCTTCTGTGAGCAATGCTAGTTGGGGTGAGATAAATGAGATGAGGAGCTTGCTTCAAGCTGTTTATATTTATATGGTAGGAAAATAACATTAGCATGAAGAACTGTGCTAAAAAGTAGACCAACTCCTTTTGTTTTACCTGTCCGTAGGGTAGAAATGTCCTACCGGCGGATGGAGAATCCTGATTGCCACGAGGTTGATGCCAGCCCCTGCAGAGAAAAGGTCCTGCAGACGATTTTAAGCCTAATTCAAAAATAGCTGTAATTAATTTTACTTACTCTGGCTAGATGCCACATCGTACTGGATCAGATGTTGTTGAAACATCTAAGCTCATCATTTGTTATGCAGTGTTCCCAGATCTCTGTTGTACAGGCATATTGTGTGGAGAAAAGAAAGAAAAAAAAGAAAGAAAAAAGAAAAGGAGAGTTGGCATCTTAATTTTACTGCAAACTATGTTCTCTATTCTGACTGATAGACCTATCAAGCTTGAGACTGGTCATGTTCCAAAGAGAGGGCAGCAATGGTCTTCTGCCTGGTTTATTCAAGATTTTCTTGGAACATATTTTCCCCTCCATCACCACCAAATTTCTGGAGGGCTTGACATATTCAGGAAGCATCAGGTGCACAGAAGCAACTGGGAAGCTCTTCCAAATAAATGGGAGCCCCTGAAGCCTTTTCTCCTACACCAGGACACTGATGATGTTTTGACGTGCCCATAGTGAACTTTTTCCAAATCTGGTTGCACTTCATTATGATGGGCTCGTGCACTTCCCTCAGTCCCAGATCGTAGAACCCAGTGTTCCTGCAGTACCTGTCTGTGTGTCCTGGCTGCCCAAGGACACTCCTACATAGCCACTTAAGGGTAAGGGACACACACAAAGAAGGCATCGATCTTAGAAGACATCAGAACCCCTAGATAGTCCTTTGGCCTAGATAGTCCTTTGGGTTAGAGCCTCAGAGTCAGATATAACGACAGTCACCCAAGATGCTCTAACTGCAAATACACCAATTTTCTCTGGATTATATTTTGCTTATTTACATTCCTTTTCTCTAAAATATGGCTCTGAATATGAGCTTTTTTTCACTGAACTGGATGCATTTCACTTGGCCAATCCAGAAATTTATTTATATTGATCTTCTTATCATGTATTTCCTCAGTGTAGGGGCTATGATTCACTAATTGAAATTGAAGCCAAGAAGCTAAGTGCAATGTTTGTTGTGTATTTTTAATACACAAATTTAATTTATCTTGCTCAATAAGCACAGTGGATTTTGAAATGGGATTTTTTAGTAAATTGTCTTACACTTGAATGTCTCATGAATACAGATGGAATCAGCTTTGAGATCTGTTTGGACAGAAAAAAGTAGCTGAGGAAAGGGGAATTCAATAGATATGTGACCTTAGAATATTGGTTAAATCAGGTGATGGCCTAAAATTTCTTCCAGTTCTGATAGAGATAAATCTTTAAGTTATTTTTATCTTGCCTACCATTTCTGAAGAAGACATCACTCCCAAAATAATTAAATGTAAGGACTTATCAGGTGTACCTTATGGAATGTTAAATTATAATAAAGTTTCATATTAATGTCATAGTATTTTTAAAAGAACTGTAGGTAATTCATACTTAATATATACATACATGCAAATGTAATTGGTTTTTGTTGAAAGTGTTTTTTAAAGCTGATCAATAGCATTAGGGTTCTTTCCAATGTAGTATCGAATTATATATTTACTTTAAACATTTTGAAAAGCTTATATCAGTGACGTAGAAAAACAAACATTTAATGTGTTCTTTATGTTCCTTGCACATGAATAAACTTGCTGTGGTTTTTTAAATCTATGCTGCTGTCCTGTGTGCATATTGATTTGTCTGATAGGTCCCCCCCAGGTCCCCTTTTAATCTTGTGAGATAAAGGAGAAAAGTTTTGGTCAAGGAAGCCAAACGATGTGAACTGGCAGACTGAGTGGAATTTGTGGTCATAGTGCTTTCAGAGGAAGGGGAGAGAGGTTGTTTTCTTTAAACATTATTTCCTCATTGCAAATATTATAGAGATTTTTAGCATCCATTTTTTGTACACCTGGGCTTTTTATACACTGATGGGTATGTGATTTGTAAGTATTAGATAAGACAGCACCTTATAATAGAAAAACTTCTTTGTACAACTGGGCACTTTATACACTGATAGGTATATGATTTGTGACTAGTAGCTAAGACAACCCTCCTACTCCAGAACTGATGACAAGTTATCATTTGCTTGGCTCTGCTTATTACAAGATGAGCTTTGTATCTGTTCCTTGGATAGACCGTTAGTTCTAAATTTATCCCCTCTTTCTTCCAAAGTGGTAGAATGTTTAGCTCAGCACATAGATGCTGAGAACTCAGAGTGCCTTTCCAAGGCTTCCTTACAGCTTGATGTGCCCATCTGGCCTGGTTCTTACCAACAGTATGAGAGCAGAAGGGACATATGACATCTCAAGGGGATAGTGTCCGTTTCCTCTTTAACCCTCTACACCAACTGTATTCAAAAATTAGACATATTCAAAAATTAGACGTGAGTCATCTAAGGAGCAGAGGATGATACTGGAGAGATGGAAAAAAGAAAACAAGATGAATGGAGACTGGTACCTAAGTGTCGAAAGCTGTAGCAGACCTGGACCATTTCTATCTGGTTCAAACCATTCTTGTTTTGGATTTTGATCCATATACAGTCTTATCTTTTGCTCCAAGAACCTAGGACACTTCCACTGATGGGACTAAAATGGTTTAAAACGAGACCATGAGGCTAGGCGTGGTGGCTCACACCTATAATCCCGGCACTTTGGGAGGCTGAGGTGAGAGGATTGCCTGAGTCCACAGATTCAAACCCAGCCTGGGCAACTTGGTGAGACCTCATCTCTACAATAAATCAAAAAATTAACCAGGTGTGGTGGTGCATGCCTGTAGTTTCAGCTACTTGGAAGGCTGAGGCGGAAAGATCACCTGAGCCCAGCAGGTTGAGGCTGTGGTGGCGGGAGCATGCTACTGCACTCCAGCCTGGGCAACAGAGTGAGACTTGAACTCAAAAAATAAAAATAAAAAATAAAAGAGTCCATGACATATCAAGCACTATTTTTATTGAATAAAAATAGGGACCAATCATATATGAAGGGAGACCCAAAAAACTCCAAATTTATTTATAAAAAATTGTGTATCTTACATGTTTAAACTTCAATGACCTTCAAAGTACTCTCTGTTTGATGCAATACACCTATCAGGATACTTTTTCCACTGCCCCAAAATCCATTTTTGAACTTGTCAATTTTGGTGCCTTTTAGGGTCTGCTGTTTTTTTGCTTCACCTCTTCCACATAGGCAAAACATTTTCCTTTGAGGACTTTTTTCATCTGAGGGATAGGGAGGGTGGGGCATGGGGGGTCATGCCATTTGGGGTCAGAAACTGCTCAACACTCAGCGGGTTTTGGGCAAGTGTGGTTGTAAATCACCTGTCATGATATGGGCAAATGGTGAAAAAAATCTCCAAAAAATATTCACTGAAACCGAACACAGCTCTCACAATGCTAGCTGGTACCTTGATGCAGATGAGTTGCTAAAACACTTACGTAGTGGGGAAAGCCTATACTACAAGGGGCCCACCCTCTAAAAGATAATTCCAGTTTTCTTTTGCCCCACCCCTCATTGCACAATTATTGCCTGATAGACTGGGTCCTGTGGACTTTTCTTTCTGTCTACTACACTGGAGTGTCTTGGGAAACTGACATTTACCTGTGTAAAATCCATCATACCCAGCAAGTGCTGGGCACAAAGTTAACAGGCAATTCATGTTTCTTGCTTAATTCTCAAAGGTATAGTCTAGACATAAGTTACACTGGATAATTAAACTATATAAAGAAATATTGCTGACATGACATGAACAATAAGAAAAACCAGTTCAAAACCTTTTGAAGTCAGGAGACATATAGTCTGCATCTTTGTATCTCCCACATTGAACATAAGAGTTTTAATGTCCTAGCCCAGCAACTCTGAATATGCAATTAAAACCACCTGCTCAGGCCAGGTGCAGTGGCTCACCCCTATAATCCCAGCACTTTGGGAGGCCAAGGTTAAGAGGATTGCCTGGGCCCACAGCTTGGAGCCCAGTCTGGGCACTTGGCGAGATCTCATCTCTACAATAAATCAAAAAATTAGTCGGCTGTGATGGCGCATGCCTGTAGTTCCAGCTGCTTGGAAGGCTGAGGTAGAAGGATTGTCTGAGTCAGTGAGTCGAGGCTGCAGTGGCTGGGAGAGTGCCACTGCCCTCCAGCCTGGGTGACAGAGTGAGACTCCAACTCAAAAAAAAAAGAAAAAGAAAAAGAAAAGAACCACCTGCTCAAGGTTTACAGAAACTGATGCCACCCCCCCCGACTACAGATCAATTATATCAGACTGTCAGTGGTACGTGTGTGTGTGTCTGTGTGTGTATTTTCCATTTCCATTCTACTGAACAATTACAGTTAGGCAATGACCAACACACACAATTTCAAATATTTATCAGCAAATATGAAGGGACAAGTTTAGCTAGTAATTCATTTTCCAAAGCATCAATTTGAATGACAGTCTGTGAGGCAGATATGGGAAATAGTCAACCACTATCTATGGAGAGAGCTGGCTGAGCTGAGCCAGAATCACAATGTCAGTGCTGCCCTGTGATGACCTGTTGTGCAATGTGCATCTTAAGATAGATGTTTGTCATGTGGATGAGAGATATTTGCATATCTGTGGAGTGTAGAAAATGTCAGGATTAAGTCTTCGTGAACTTTGTATATTTAGAGAGCAACACAGTACTGCCTGTCTCCGAAATGTCTACTTATTACTTCTTTAGTGGTAACAGAGTTTTAGCTGGATGCCTACCTATCTACATTATGACTACACATTTTTGGAATCCCATCCCATATATGTGCCATCAAAGTATGGTCTGGTCAATAGGATGTAGGCACTTATAGATATATGTCACTTCAGAGATGTTCTTGCTTTTATAGAGGGTTGTGCCAGAATCCCCTAGTCTGATAACAAGAATTTATTTGGGTTCAGAGAAGGAAGTCACAGATTGAGATGGTAGAGCCAGTTTGTCAGCCAGTACTGCTCCTATTATGGAAAAGGATGTACATCTCTAATTTGTTTGAGGAGTTGAGATTTGGAAGTCTCTTTCTCTCTCCCTCTCTCTCTTACTCTCACTTTTAAAAATTATACATAATATTTTCTTGTATCTTAACATATACCTA